GAGTTTGAACGTTGTGCTGACAGAAATTGTTATGATGCCGCGCATAAGCTAGTGATAGACAATTTGTACAGTAATGTGGTGACAGCATTAAGCGAGGCTGCGACTATAAGTCGAGTTGTAAAACATAAGTTTAAAGGACGAGTTATTGGATGGAATAGACATGTCAGGGATGCTCATATGGTGGCTAGACAAAAATATCAAGTTTGGATAGTTGCCGGAGGGCCCAGACACGGACCCTTATATGAAGAAATGTGTACAAGCCGAAAAATTTTCAAGTCCCGTCTTAAGTGGTGCCAAGATCACCAACACCAAATAAGAATGGACTTGATGGCTTCCGAACATTCTAAAAACAATTTTAGTACATTTTGGAAAACCACGAACAAAATAAATATTCGCCCAGGTCACCCTGTGAGTGTTGATGGCGTGTCTGATCCGAATGATATTGCTAATCTCTTTCGTGATTGTTTCCTAGTGCGATCGCCCCTTGGGCCGATAGCTTGCGATGTGAGCGATGCTGAGACTATCACTGAAAGAGTAAAAATTAATATAACAGCCAAAGATGTCGCTCAGGCCATTAAGTCCATATCCAGAGGCAAGTCTCCAGGTCATGACGGTCTCAGCATCGAGCACTTGCATCACGCGGGTCCCCACTTGTGTAGAATACTAGCAGTATTTTTTGCAATGTGTATAACACACGCATACTTGCCTAATAGTCTGATGAAGACTATAATTGTTCTAATAGTCAAAAATAAAACTGGAGATCTATCAGATAAACAGAATTATAGACCAATATCTTTGGCAACTATTATTGCCAAAGTTTTTGACAGTGTGCTTAACGCACGGCTAAACACGTATCTCTGTCTACACGACAATCAGTTCGGATTTCGTCCAGGTTTATCTACGGAGAGTGCAATACTGTGCCTAAAGCACACTGTCAGGTATTATGTCGACAGAAAAACTCCAGTTATTGCCTGTTTCCTAGACCTGTCTAGGGCATTTGATCTGGTTTCCTATGATAGCCTATGGAAGAAATTGGTAAGTCTAAATTTACCACCTGAATTAGTCAAGATTTTTAAATACTGGTATGGAAATCAGATCAACTACGTTAGATGGGCGGGAAGGATGTCGGACCCTTATAAGCTCGAATGCGGTGTTAGGCAGGGCGGATTGAGCTCCCCTAGCTTATTTAACGTATACGTCAATGGACTGATCGAGGCCCTCGGCAGCATGCGTATCGGATGCCATATAGATAGAGTGTGCCTAAATAATATTAGTTATGCGGATGATATGGTGCTGCTGAGTGCATCAATCTGCGGTATGCGTAATTTATTAAAAGTGTGTGAGGGGTATGCGATAGACCACGGACTTAAATATAATACACGTAAAAGCCAATACATGGTATTTGGGAACGGGCGTAAGTATAACTCTGAGCTACCTCAAATCAAACTTAATGGTATAGACCTTCAGAGGGTAAATCAATTTAAATATCTAGGGCATATACTTACGCCTGATCTCAATGACAATAAGGACATGGAAAGGGAACGTAGGGCTCTGTCGGTCAGGGCGAATATGATCGCACGCAGATTCGCAAGGTGTTCGGGAGAGGTAAAAGTAACGCTCTTTAGAGCGTAAGTACCTCCTTTTATACCTGTAGTCTGTGGCGAGAGTTTACGAACCGGGCCTACAGGGCCCTACGGACTCAATACAATAACGCGTTCCGGGTGTTGATGGGGCTACCCCGCTTCTGTAGCGCATCAGGGATGTTCGCCGACGCGCGCGTGGACGGCATGGACGCCACTGTGCGCAAGAGGTGTGCGTCCCTGGTGCGCCGCGTGCGGGCCAGCCCCAACTCCGCTCTCCGTGTCATAGGGGACAGGGATGACTGCCCCTATATTAGGCATTGCTGCGGGTTACATGCTCCCAAGTATGTAATCAGATTTTAATTTAAGTTCAATTTTAATTTTAATTTTATTTCAATATTAATTTTATTTCAATTTTAATTTATTTTCAATTTTAATTTAACTTCAATTTTCATTTAAATTCAATTTTAATTTCATTTTCATTTAAATTCAATTTTAATTTTTAATTTTAAGTTTTACTAACTTTAGATTAAGTTCACATGTATGTACTAACAAGTGAGTCTATTGTTACTCGAAATAAAAAGTTATTATTATATTATTATTATTATTATAGCGGGATCCAAGGCAATGAAACCGTAGACATATTGGCGAAAAACGCTATCCAAACAGGTTGCCTTAATCATTATAGGACATATACCTATGACCTGCCTTTAGCTACCAATGATATGTTTTCCTCATGGAGCAATGAGTGGAATAAAATCAAGCTTATCAAGGGCAAGTACTATGCTGATATCCAAATAAGTATCCCCAAAAAACCTTGGTTTTTTAACCTTAAAGGATTCAGTAAATCTGTAACTTCTACGATATGCCGACTTCGCCTTGGTCATGCCTGCACCCCGGTCCATTTGGCAAAACTTAGAATACGGGATAACTCAATTTGTGAATGTGGCCTAGATGAAGGTACCCCAGACCATATATTTTTCAGCTGCCCTTCCAGAACTTGTTCCATCTACGATAGTCTTCCACCGTCCATTCCGCGTCCCGTAAATTTCCAGTTTCTGCTATATGTCTTTTCAAATCCTCTACTGAAATTAATTACTGATTTTATTAGTATTAACAAACTTAAATTATAACACTATTTATTTTTATTTTATTTATATCATTAATGGTGATGGTACCTATATTGTGTCGTGTTGTATTGTTTCAGAATTGGAATAGACTAAAGAGCAGCGTTAAATGTTTAAACATTGGAAAATAAATAAAAGTCTAACTCCCATGACTGACTAGACATTGGCAAAATTCTAAAAGAGAAGCCATCCTTCTTTTTAAAAATAGAATAGAATAGAACTTTCGTATCTCTCATATAAATATTGTCTAAACAGTTTTGTCACATTGTGTTTTATTGTTTACTTTATGTCATTATTGTTTATATAATGGATTAGGTATTTTATAGCTTTAATATTATAAGTGTGTACTATAAAATAGCCAATACTTTAGGTAGGTAAACATTCAATCATGCTTAAAATGAAACGTACGTACAAGAACGTTACCTAATCTATGGTGGAACTGAATCAATTGCGATGTGTTCTTGCATCAATTCTAAAATATTGTTTTGCAATTTCTTTATTCCGGACTTCTAAAAATATACAAAAATATATTGATAAGTAGGCATAAACTAAAACTTTAAATTATTCTAGCAAAGTCCATGAACGGCACTTCCTTGATTTTGGGTCAGATTTCGCCATCCTTCTTTGTTGCCTTTCTATTTCCACGATTACAAAAGTAATTCTTTCGAGCAGGCTCGAATCAATTGTGTTTTTGTGTTAACCTGTCATCGCCATCTTTGTGTTCTTCAGGTTATCGTTTTCTCAAATAGTAAAATTTATTTTCTAATTTTAAGTGAAAAACTTATAATTTTGACCAGTTAGGGCTCGCTTCCGGCCCCATTGCTGTGCCATGCAGGTTCACGGTCCCCTCTGCACACCCCACGCTACGCCACTTATTTATATTTACTGAAAATTGTTTTTCTTTCTAAGAATTACAAGATTCTTCCTTATTACATTCTTGAGATCTGAGTTAACTTATGGAACATAATGATTACTACCCTACAGGTATCACTAAAACTTATAACACGACCCAATGTCAAGGTCTCTGCGTTAAGGGTTGGAGTGGCCCCTAATCAGGGCTCTGCTTCTGCGGGGACCCTAACTCTGTAGCTCTTATTACAGCCTCCTATGTTTAAGTTAGGGTTCCTTGAAATCCAGGTACAGGCGCAGCGTTTAAAGAATGTTTGTCCAACGAGCAGAGAGATTATACAGATGGGTCGACAGCCGTACAAGTAGATTATATAGTATTAAGCGCACCATTCACAGGCGAACTTATTAGCCATATTCGCCGTATTAGCTATTAATATGATCGCTATGAAGCCATATGTTACTAGCAGAGCTGGGCAAAATACATGCTGTCTTAATTAAAATATAAATTACAAAATACTTTCTTATATTAAAGTCTTTGGTAGCATAGCAGTAGAGCTCCTTGAGAAAGAGTTTGTCCATGAAAATACTACCATCTTATCTATTTCTGTCGCCAAGCCAAGTAATATGAGCATTACCTACTGTGATCTGGTTTTAAAGGGTAAGTGAAATTACAGGCACATGGGACTTGTCAAATTATGTCTCAGGGTGTCGGGCGCAGTGGTAGTGCCCCTCAGATCTTTGTGATTTAAAGCTTTGATTGGTACTACAACCGTTATGGATAGGCGTGTCACTTACCACCAGGCGCACGACTTGTCACTAGTATAGTATTATACAAAAAATAAAAAATAATGTTTAAAATATAAATTACTTTCAAATTTTTAGCGTTTCGATATTATATGTTTCAATATTAATACATTGCAATCTATTATATATACAAATTGTACTTATTTATTCTATGTTTGTTACTTTATTTTTATACCTACTCCTTTATCGATTCTTAGGTCCTTTGACTCCTTCCATAATGATGGTTTCTTTTATTTTGCGATTCCCCTAAATAAAACCCATATCATTTGTTTTGGCTAGAATGCTATCCGCGAAGAGCTATTGTTGTAAAGAAGAAAATACATTTCAAATTTCGAACTACGTTTGTCAAAATCGGCAAAACGATTGAACAGTCTTTGTCAGTGCAATAATTTGATTTTGCTTATGTCGAGGCACAGAATATATAATTCAATATGGGTCGAGTGCAAAATTGGAAAACTGTGCAAATGCATAGCTGTGTTTAATAATATTTTTTAGTTATGCCTGTAACTAAAAGAAATTTGCGTCTTAAGTTTAATTTCTAATTGTACAAGCAATTTTAATACACCATAATTTTAGTACCTATACAATAAGATAATTGCAGAAAAGACTACAATTATATAGTAAGAGTAAAGTGTTGCGATATAGAGCTTCGTTTAGTTTGGTATATACGTATACCCGCAAGATACATACACACGCCACAAGATTCCTTTTCTACTGTTGGGTGTAAAACCAAAAAAATGTTACTTACTACAGTTTTAAAGAAGCCAGAGAATCTTGCAACAAAGCTGGAAACGGATAGTGGGACGGAAATATTATGGGGTCGGAGCCGGACAGACATAATATGCTCCATTTCCGAATCGAGAAGTGAAATAAATTTAAATACCATGAGTCTACAATCCAAAAAGGTAGCGATCTTTTTGACAATATTGCGGATGTGCTAGATACGGCCAGGTTTTGTAGGCGGTCTACAGTAGAGTACAATTTGTCGTTGCCATTGCTAGTTACCTACAGTATAATTCAATTCAGTCAATGCCTACGGTAGTGCTTTTTTATTAAGGGGGATTTTGCTTGGATACAAGTCCTTTGCGCCATGTCTTCATTTAATTATCGGGATCCTCATTAAACATTTTGCATTGTGGTTCTACAACATTGTTTTCAATTTCTCTTAAATAACTTCGTTCTCTTGTTTGGGCTTTCTGAGTACTCTTATAACCGGCGGGAGTCAATATTTATGGTTTCACTTTCACTGTTTATATTACTTATTAATACCACTGTTATTATTACTATTTTGAACAAAAACTTTGAATTCTTAATTATTGGCAGATTTCAGGATAAACTTTTTTGAAATTCGGTTTAAAATAAGAATTCTTTATCACTATTTCTTTCTTCGTATTTTTTCATAATATATGTACCTATATCATTGACTTACAAATAAATGGACGACGGGTCTAATACAAAAACCACGAAAAAAATGTCCCAAGTCAACCTATTCGAAATTTAAATTGTTATGTCATCGCAGTATCGCGCTGTCCGTAGAACAAATGAAGACTAAAGCGGAGTGTCGCGCTCTGTCATACGATTTTAGCGCCTTACAAGTGCGGACACTTTTTAGCGCGGACCCGACGTCCATATAATTGTAAGTCAATGACCTATATAAAATAATATTTAACTTTGTAAAAACTACTTGTCACTTCAACAGCCCGCCATTTTATTTTCGCTACAGCCCTTAGTGCTTTTGTTTTTAATTAAGAGTTTTGGCTTGGCAAACTACAGTAGTGCCACTGCTCGCTTGCTTTAGTGAAGTGAAGAAAAAGTCGATTAGGATAACGGTAATATTTTATCGCTATGTTTGCATTTATTTTCCTTGTTTCTTGTTTCAGAAACAGACGACGACAAAAGAATTAGTTTTATCTGCTGATGGGGATGTTGACGACCTTGATTACTGGTATATACCAGTTTTTAAGTTATAATACGATCATATACATATATATTCTTCGTGTTCGCCTTCTAATATTGTTCTAGCTTTTCTTTAACTCTTTGAAACGACAAAAAAAAGGGCACAAAGCGAAACATTGCAGGCCTGTTATAGTGACAACATCTATCCTAAAAATATTTTTAAATTTAAGTTTTTTATAATTTAGTAAGTTGATTGCGTGCACAGGGGCGCTGACTTACTTATAGTAATATAATAAACGACCAAGAAAACTGTTTTGGCGCCAAGCTAAAAATTTTTTGCTGTTCTCTGCCAAATTACTAATCGTAGAGAACAGAAAATAAGTGCCTTCCTCGACGAGTATGAATTTGAAGATCGAGGCGCATAACGCAAGGTGCATAAGCAGAAAAAGGTAAAATCCAAAAAGTCTACTGCTCCTTCGTTATAAAAAGATTATTAGGTATTAGGGTTGTTATGAATTATCTACGTACAATATTGTCGACGTATGGAGTGAATGAATGCCTCATTCAAGCATTGCATTCTCGCACAAGGATTGGGATTATTTATTTCAAAATGATGGTTTTTGCAAACTCATGACACTTAAATTATTATGCGGTTCTGATTGTCTTGCTTTACGACAATATTTACAGCATGTCTTGTCCGTCTAGCAGATCATGTGAACATGAAATTTAAAAAAAATCATGTTTTAATATTGTGTGATTTAAGAAGCGAACATGAAGGTAATGTTTAATTGGTCTGTACCTACTGAAAACTTTTAACATCCTAAAAGCTTTTTTCTGGCAATGATTGAATGATGAAAAATATTTCCTTATTTGTAGTTTATTGTTTTATGATGGACACATGTTTGCTACAATTATAGAAGATACTATAATTAAATTACGAATTTTAGGTAAGATCATTTTTAAGGTTTTCATAACAATGTGTCATTCAGTAGATACCTAAGATTTATTCGCATTTTATAATCCTTTCGCATTTTTGAAATATTTACATATACCATACATGTACCATTAATATCAATTTTTTTTAATTAAAAATTGTATTTTACATTACAGACGGATGCGGTACTGAACTGCAGACGACTAAGACACTCGCGGATTTTGATGCACTGCTCAGATTACGGTTTAACGTGGCAGATTCGTCGCTTCCCACAGATGAAATATTTGACATCGACCCAAACAAAGTAGATACTATTGGGAAGAAAACACATAAAATTTATAAAGACAGGTCATCCCCAATTGATTGTTATATTACCTTAAATGCTTCAATATGCAATTTTTTCTTAATTTGCATTTTTTACCAGGACTGGAATTTGTGATTTATTTAACAAACTTTACATTGAATTAAGTACAAAAAGATGTTTCGACGAATTGAAAGATCGCGTAAATGACATCCGGGACCAAAAAGATAGTTTCAAGATTTTGCAGGAAACTCAAGCTAAGAATAAAATGTAAAACTATGGTACCTACATATTGATCTGTTATAAATTAATATTCTATTTACTAACTATTCATATTTTTAGTATACGAAAGGAGTTACAAAAGCAGTTGAGGAGTCAAAGGAATCGCATGAAAGCAATAAAATACGATAGTGATGTTTCAATAGACAAATTATTAAAACAAATTGAAGTAAGTCATTAATTAAAACAATAGTTATATATTAATTAGTAGTGACACCAGGTAATTGATACGACTGTCTGTCACAACAATAATATACTATTACACATTTTTAGCAGTAATTAATATATTGATATATTTTATTCACTCGTTGTAATATATTATTGATAATTATAATTTCACTTGTGTAGGATACAAATCTATTGACAGAAATACGAGGCCGATATGTTGATAATTGGGAGAATGCTCGAAGTGAACAGCACGTCTTGACTACTAAAAAAAAAGAAGCTAAGTTAATCAAAAGCTCAAACTATTACAAAGTCAACGCAAATAATGAGCACAGAGTTCACGCAGAAATAGAGACACTAACGAACAGAATTATCTCGGTAAGTATCTGGTAGATTGTTTTTTTTTTAATATGTAGGTACATTTTTGATAATTAGTCGTTATCATGAAAAAGTTTCAAATAGTTTATTCCAAACAACGTGGACGTAAAATAATGGACATAAAACCATTGAAATCTAAACTAATACGCTGAGATTTTACAGACGCTGGCATTGACTTACAATTATATGGACGTCGGGTCCGCGCTAAAAAGTGTCCGCACTTGTAAGGCGCTAAAATCGTATACAGAGCGCGACACTCCGCTTTAGTCTTCATTTGTTCTACTGACAGCGCGATACTGCGATGACATTACAATTTAAATTTCGAATAGGTTGACTTGGGACATTTTTTTCGTGGTTTTTGTATTAGACCCGTCGTCCATTTATTTGTAAGTCAATGGACGCTGGGATCTTTATAGACGATTTTCGTGAGTAATAATAGCTGTGACACGATGTGAACAATAAAATCAGCTTAGGTTTCAGTATTCACCACATTTTTTATCTACAACTTAATCTTTAAAATAACATATCAATTTCAAATAAAACGTTTAAAGAAGCATAAAAAGTATTTGGAGTTGTACGAGTAGATCTTACTAATGTAACATGTACAAGCATGTGCCCACTATTTTCGGGTGTAGGTACCTATATGAACACGGCCTATTATTATTTATTTTGTATTGAAACCTTGAGACGACAGTCAGAGAATCCACTTGAAGGAAAGTTGTAGCTGTCGCTTATTAATAACTGCCTCTTATTAGTAACTGCCGAACGGTTACCATGCCGGACTGCCACGCAGAGGTCCCAGGTTCGATTCCCGGGCCGGGAGAAATATTTGTATGGCCTACATTCTCACGTGAGTTTGGGTGTAATTTATGGTTGTGTATGTGTGTGTCCATGGCACCCGCGACACAGGGTTTCCCTAGTGCGGGGTATGTTGAGTGTGTGCGTTATTATTATTAATGAAACTTTATTTACGAAATTAAACAGGATACTCTAATTCAAACAGAAGAATGGATGGAAAAATACGATACAGATATGGAAGCAATAGATATTAAAATACATATTCAACGCAACGAATACGCAAATGTGATAGAAAAAAGAATAGATCTTGAACAAATGGTGAGAAGTACAGAGTACTAAACAACCGACCTCAAAAGTTCGTGAAATTACATCTATTTGTCAAGTTTTATTGCATTACGGGAAAGTGCGCGAAACCTTGGAGGGGAAAGATTTTCTTCAAATTTAAATGGTACCATTACTGAGGTACACTTTTTCCAACAAAAAATAATCCTCAAAATCAGTTCCCAAACTTTGTATGTATGTTACCGCGTAACATACATACAAAAAAAACTACAGTCGAATTTAGAACTTCCTCCTTTTCTTGAAGTCGGCTAAAAATTGTATTGTAAAACTACGTGTTCTCAATTAATCCTTTTTTTAATAATTGTTCAAACACTGTTTACAGTTTGCTTTACATGACAAACAAATATGGGATTGGAAGGGGTTCAAAGAAGAGCGCGAAAGACTACAATGGTACCACGACACAATGCAAAAGTCTGCTATCATACTTCAAGCTTGGTGGCGTGGAATAATCGTGCGCAAACAATTGGGTCCTTTTAGACCAAAAAAGAAAGTTCGTTCAAAGAAGAAGTAGTAATTGAGTTAATCTGATTTTATTTTTCTTAGATCTTACCTGCAAAACACTTGATTGAAATAATCATTTTATTATTATACGTACGAATTTTGTAGGCCCGTGTTTTTGTTTACATAAGCATTCATGGTGGAATTTATGTTATTATACTTTAATATTTTTACTGCGCTGCACACACTGGCAAGGACTAGCGATCAGCAGAAAAATGATTTGCGCTTCTTCTTCTTGCAATGTCTGTAGTGATTTCTAATGAGATTCAGTAACCTTCGTCTTAAACTCAAAAGAACTGTTTCTTGTGGAGCGTCAAGTTACTGCTGATTCTTTTGAAAACTGCCAACATAACCGTCTCTTTTTTACTTAATGTGTCGATCGACTCTATTTGTGAGGACCGGCAAGTCGGTAACGCAGACTGGCCGATCCTCAAACCACGACTCAAATTACAATTTAATTCAACTGGATCCCTTAGTGGATTCTGTTTACGTCATTATTAATAATAGAAAACCCCCCAGGGGATCGTATATAGCAGGGATTCAAATGGACGGACGGAAAAGTATTCTCAGGGTCACCAAAAAAGCCTTTGTCGAGCTCAAGCCTCATGAGGAAGATCATTCCAGGTTCCACACCACATCTTGCAGGTTCGAGGAAGGAACGAACGAGATGCCCGCGTGGTCTTACAATGCCAGGTATCTATGGGTGGCCATACACGGCCTACTCGAGCAGTTAGCCAGTGATCAACATACACGGACCGCTATTGCTACCATAGCTTGCGGCTGCCATTGATAACTGCTGGAGTCGTTGATACCAACAGTAACTGCAGCAGTTGGTATCAACTGCTCAACAAGTCACAATTTAAATTTTATTCAAATCAGTAGCAACATGGATTTTGAGGAAGAAGTACTACTACTAGTAGAATACCAGCGTCTCATTCATGCTAAGTCAGCGCCTTTTCATTGCCATGGCTTCCAAGAGGGATATTAGTAGAATATATTACTACGTTACGTCTAAGTTAATGTCTGCATCATGTGTATGTATTTTCATGGTAGTGAATAAAGATTCTATCTATCTACTTCTACTTTTGCTCAGACGATGCCGGCGGCCTTGAAAATCCGCGCTTGACGTGGAATGAAGGGCATGGGTGGAGGTAACTCACGAGAGCAGTCGACACCTCGAGCAGTCAGTGTATGCCTGGCGACTGCTTGACCGCACGATGAAATTTCACCGCCCGAAGCAGTCGTAACTGCTCGAGCGGTTTCGTGTATGTGTGTACGTAGAAGACTACTACGTTTGCTACGCGGTCGTAGCTTGAAGCAGTCTATAGCCGTATATGGCCGCCCTAAGATGTGGGGATGGACTTCACTCCTTTGACGGGAAGTGCGATGGTAGAAATAAGACGGTGGCACCAGTACGAAAAGTTCCTCAGAGCACTCCCCATTATAAAGACAGTAGAACATACACAGAGAGCCATCGTCTCTCCGTAGGCTAAGGGGCTCCATATCATAATTCCATGGCAGTACGGTATAATTTTATATTCTTTTGGTTCCTATATTCACGGAATTGATGTTTATTTTTTCAAATATGCACGTAGCAACGCATATCCATGCCACTTTTCTATTCCTGTTTGTAAAAATGTAACGGAATGAAAAATGTAACGAAATTAAAATCGCTTCTTGCCTGTGAACCACCTAACTGGTTCACCTTGGTAGACCACTGGTAATTATTTCTGAAATTTTAAAAAAGGACCACTAGGGAACATATTAATGTTTAGAAACACATTAGAATGACTCTAAGCTGACACTAATCAATTTGGTTACAATATGAAAGTAACTTGTATAAATATGTAAGTTAAATTAAATTAAACTAGTAATGATACATGATTTTGTAAAAAGAAACAAAAAAGGAAATTTTATTTTCAAGTTTATAATTCAAATTTATGACATCTTACCAAGAACATATCAAACTAGATATTATTACATCACATCACGCAACAAAAAACTTTGGGAGGTTTTGGAAAGCGACGGCGGCGCTGGGTGGAAGGTCTGGACTGCCTGTGAGTGTCGGAGACGCCAACGAGCCCGAAGCTATTGCGAACGTGTTCGTTAAACACTTCAAGGTAAAGTCGCCGCTGAGGCCCGCGCAGTAGGGGGTCGATGATGGGGCGTGCAGTTGCCCTGACCTGGTTCGTTTTTCTGCTAAACAAGTCCATGATGTTATCAGAAAGATGACTAGAGGGAAGTCACCGGGGCATGACGGCCTCAGCATCGAGCACCTGCAGCACGCCGGCGTCCACTTGCCTAGAGTGTTAGCAACGTTTTTCTCGTTGTGCATGGCGCATTCTCACCTTCCCTGTGATCTCATGCGGACCATTTTCCAGTTAAAAAAATATCTTTAAAGAGGAATACTATTCCATGGGTGAGTGAAGAACTTAACCACCACATTGCAATGTATAATAATTTCTGCTCAATGAAACACCAATTTCCACATGATAATGTTTTAAATAAATGTCTTCAACATCGTTCAAATTTAATAAAATCTATGAGTTTGCGTGATCGTCGTCTATTTAATGATAATAAGATGATGTCTACTAAAAACTCGAGTAAGGTAATGTGGCAGATTGTGAACGATGAGGTTTCAACTAGGAATCACCAACAAAACGTTCGACTGACTCACAAGGGAGACATTGTGCCTGTAGACATGATACCTGACTACTTCAATGATTATTTTCTTACAATAACTTCAAAATTACATCTACACAATAATAAAGAAAAATCAATGTCATTTTTAAGAAAATGCGTGGGTGAATGCGATGTTCCTCAGTACAGCCTTCCAACTGTCACTCGTGACTCGTTGGAGGGGGTAGTGAGGGGTATGTGGCATACGTCAAAAACGCTGGACATATACGATATATCTATAAATATATTAATGTCGGTGTGGCCAGTGATTGGAGACATACTCGTTATTTTAATAAATGAAATGTTTAGAGAAGGTATATATCCTGATATTTTAAAAAGTACTCGTGTATGTCCAGTGTTTAAGGGGAAGGGGGACGTGACCCATGTTGAAAGCCACAGACCGATAACCATAGTTCCGAATATATCAAAAATAATAGAATCTATTATATCAACAAGTATTATGGATCATTTCGAAATGAACGATTTGTTATCAGATAGACAATATGCTTATAGGAAAGGTAAATCCACCGTAGTTGCAGCACAAAATATAGTAGATTCTATTATTACCAGTATAGATGATAAGTATAAAACTGCAGGCATTTTTTGTGACCTAACAAAGGCGTTCAAAAATTAGCCTGCACGTATGAGCAGCTGTGTGAGTGGTTCTCTGCGAATGGACTTATTCTTAACGAATCGAAATCAAACCTTATGTTGTTCTCAGGAAGAAATTCTATAACAAAGCCAATTATCACCTCCATTGTTCCATTATGTAACACCTGTAAATTCTTGGGTTTAACGCTAGACTCAAATTTGAACTGGAAGTCACATATACAAACTCTATGTCAAAAACTTGGAAGTGCTGCATACGCACTGAGGAAACTGCGTCCTCTTGTCTCCAATGTGGTATTGAGGCAGACGTATTATGCGTATTTTCATTCGTTGATGTCTTATGGCATCACACTGTGGGGTAATTCAACTGAGTCGATTAGGGTATTTATTCTTCAAAAACGTGCACTAAGAACAATAGTAGGCATAAAAAAGGGTCAGACCTGCAGAAACCTTTTTAAGAAATACAATATAATGACCATGTACTCACAATATATTTATGATATAATAGTTTATGCGCGTCAAAACTTGGCTACTTATGAGCGACGTACAGGCGGAGGCCGAGCGTTACTAAAATCCGTTGCCCACCGTACCGAACTTGCAACTAGAAATCCGCGGGTAATAGGTCCCCGATTCTACGAACATCTACCCACAGACCTGAAAAGTGTTAGAAACGATGCAACGTTTTGTACCCGACTAAAAAACCTTTTATTGGATATTGAATTGTACAGTGTCGATGAGTTTCTTTTGAAACAATTTTAATTTTATTTTATTCGACAAGCAGTAGTTATACTACTTTATTTTATATTCATTATTATTATTATAATTTTATTACTGACGATCATAGTTATCCCTTGACATTGTATTTCCAATTGTAATATTGTGACATTGATAACATGAAATAAACGATTCTATTCTATTCTATTCTATTCTATTCATTGTAGTTCCAATTGTTAAGGATGTGACTGGCGATATAGCAGATAAATGTAATTACCGACCCATCTCACTGGCAACTGTTTTAGCAAAGGTGCTCGACAGCCTATTGGACTCATGCCTCAAAAACTTTGCATCTTCATGACGCACAGTTCGGGTTCCGTTCTGGATTATCCACAGAGGCTGCCATCCTCAGTTTGAAGCACACGGTACAGTACTATGCGGAACGTCGGACAGCTGTATAAGCAGCCTTTCTGGACCTTTCCAAAGCATTTGACCTCGTTTCGTATGATGTCCTGTGGGACAAACTGAAGAGCAGAAAGGTGCCGGCAGAGCTGTTGCGCATCTTGCAGTATTGGTATTATAATCAAATGAATTGCGTGAGATGGGCTGATAAATTGTCGGATACGTACAGGTTGGAGTGCGGGGTAAGGCAGGGGGGCATCACCTCGCCTAAGCTGTTCAACCTGTATGTGAATGACCTGATTGTCGAGCTCAGCAGCAGGCGGATAGGGTGTCGCGTAGATGATGTTACCATCAATAATATCAGTTACGCTGATGATATGGTGTTGTTGAGTCCGACAGTCAGAGCACTCAGAGAGCTGCTGGTAATATGTGAGAGGTATGCTTTAACACATGGCTTGACATACAATGTCAAAAAGAGCGAGTACTTGATGTTTAAGGCCGTCTGTGGCAAAAGTCTGATTAGGTCCCACCCATTACATTAAATAGCGTAGATCTTAAAAGAGTTTCCCAATTTAAATATCTTGGCCACTTTGTAACCGACGACCTTAAGGACCAAACAGACATAAGGGAGCGGAGGGCGCTGGCGGTCCGATGTAACATGTTGGCCCGGCGGTTTGCGCGCTGTGGTGAGCAGGCAAAAATCAAGCTTTTCAAGGTCTATTGCCAAGTACACTACACGTGCAACCTATGGTCCAACTTTACGCAAAAGGCCATTAGCGCCTTTCGTGTTCAGTACAATAACGGCTTCAGGATGCTGATAATAATAATAATAATAATAATAATCATGTATTTCGGAACTGGGTCCATAGATTGTTAGTAAAAATTACAAAATGCTTAATTCTAAGGGTTAGTTACACAATACAAAAAACAAAATAAAAAAGAAACAAAATAAAACTATGCGACTGATGATATGCTATGAAGTCGCATCCAGTGTGCGAACATCGGCGAGTCCCAGCGTGCAGACAACGCGCTCAGGATGCGGTTGGGGCTGCCGCGCAAGCGGCTTAGCATCGAGGCACACCTCTTGCGCATAATGGCTGCAAACCCGTCTGTATGCGACTCCGCAAACATCCCCGAGGCGCTACAATAGCGCGGCAGCCCCAGCAACACCCGGAACGCGTTGTTGTATTGCACGCACAGGCCGTTGTATGTCCTCTGCGTATAGTTGACCCACAGACCGCACGTGTAAAAGGACTGACAATAAGATTTAAACAGTGATGGGGCTGCCTCGCTTCTGCAGCGCGTCGGGAATGTTTGCGCAGGCTCGTGTCGATGACTATTACGCCATCATGCGCAAAAAGACGGCCTCGCTGCTCTGCAGATTGCGGGCCAGCACGAACTCCATCCTGATGACCGTAGCAGGGAGATATGATTCCCCCATGATGCGACATTTTTTGCAGGTCCTTGTTAGCAAAACGTGTTCATCAATTTGCTGACAAGCGCCATTAAATATTAATTTTCTTTTCGTTTTTACTAACATAGCCACTAAGAACACAATTTATGGATCACGTTGTCCGAAATAAAGATGTAAATAAATAAAAAATAAATAAATTAACGAAGAAAGTAATTGTTTATTTCACTTCAGTTTGATTAACTTTCAAAAACTTAATTTTATTTTCATTGGCAAACAATAAGTACTAGGTTGATTTTGTTAGCGTTTATTTAATCATGATTTCATGACATAATAAGTAGGTAGGTAGTGTTCATTTAATTTGATACCTTTTTTAATCTCATAGAAGTAACTATTTGTGATAATTTATTGTATTTTCTTATTTCTTCCTCCTGTTTTTAAGTGTTCGGCCGAAAAGTGATTTAATATTAGCAAAAAATAGGCCGAATAAGCCGAATACCGAATAGTAACCGAATATTCGTTGCAACTCCTATACAGACGCCTACTTGATGACACGGATCCCGAGTATGACAAAAACAACTCGCAAGCTATACTTGTTGGGGCTGAATAGCGGGGCTGAACGTTCCGATTTTCAAATAACTTGCAGTTTTATACTGAAAATGATGTATTTGATTTTCAAAATGTGGAAATGTTGAACAAATGTTTATCGCTTTTTGTAATAGTATAGTCACTTCTACTAATATTGAGATATTAGATATAGTCTTTTTCATAGAGGCCAATTTTTGACAAATTTCGGAGCGGAACGGTCAGCTCCGCTTTGGGGCGCGTTGTCCCGCCTTTGAGGCAAATTGTTCCGCCTAAGCTATGACAGAATAACAAAGATTTTCTTAAATAAAACCACCTAATTTATAATTGTATGTACATACATACACATTACATTACACACACAAACATTACATAATGTTTATATTATGCACAACTAACTTAAAAAAAAACTACATTCTTATTCATCAGTAATATGATTCATCGACCATTTCTTCATCTGAATCACAGTTGAGACACACATAAGTGACTCTATTATCTTGTCTAAATATTTGACATGAGCCCGTTTGTAGTTTGGTACCCTCAAAACAAAGAAAAATGGTCATAAAAATTTTAAGTATGATTGCAGGTCAATTGGGGGAAGTTGTTCCACGGAACAACCAGCCCCTCGAGGGAGAAACTTACAGCCCCAAATTACGTTTTTATACGAAGACTGACATACCGGCAAAGTAATAGAATCAATAAAAAAAATACTCAAACAATAAGATTCCTTACTAATGTCACTACAATTTAGAAAAGATACGTATGAATCGGCCCATAATAAACAAAGACAGACCAAAAAATTTAAAGAAGAAAAAATTTACTTAATTGCTGTGAGAACAACTTACCCCGGGAACTACCAGCCCCGGTCTCCCCTACTCTATTGTAGCCGTTATACACCGGCCGATAAGAAAATGTTTATAAGTGAAAGACATGGAAACATAAATATTGACTCCCGCTACTTAAAAGACTAATTTAGAAAACCCAAACAAGAAGTAAGCTACTTAAGAGGAAGTGAAAACATAATGTTGTAGAACGACACTGGAAAATATTTAATGAAGATCCCAATAATTAAACCATGATATGGCTCAAAAGACTTGTGTCCCAAGCCAAAACTCTTTAAAGAAAAAACAAAAAAAAAATGCAAACGTCATTGCCCTGCAGGTCACGTGACTATTTTAGCCAATCCTAGCGCGGTATTTGACAAATAAAAAACTAACTTCAGATTGAATATATCTAAAAAGTTGTGTATTTTCAGATTTATTTACAAATTTTATTATGCCGAAAAAAGAAAAGGTGAGTTTGGAAACCTGAGAAAAGTTCGCTGTTACTACTAAGAACTGGAAATAACGCAAGTGTCCGCCGAAAACTTTGTAAACTCGTTGCCCGGCGGCATCAGTTCGTACACATCGTAAGTTTACTATGCCATGTCAGTTCGTTGTGGTATGCGGTTCTGAATAATTTATATGTGTAAAAATCGTTTACTGGTGTGATCTAAATAAAATATTGGTGTTGTGAGAGTTTTAGTGAGGACTGTTGTTCGCAGGAGGTGATGAAGACCAAAGTAGATAAGGAAAAGAATGGGGACAACTTTCCGGAGGTGAGTGCTAGCTTTAATGCAATTTACAAGCGTTTTCCAACTAGCATCTTGATGGTATCCACTAACGGTGAACTGTAATGTTGTAGTAGGGCTTCGAAGCAGGTTTTTGTTTTTTTTCGTTCCTGGTGTTTCTCGCGACAGCTTGAATTCTACGTCTAGGCGGTACTTTAGATTACAATCTTTTAGTATGCACTCTGGACGCATTGCAGTCTTTACTAATTCATGATATATTTTTATTATAAATCTGAACAAATAGCCAATTTTTAAAATTCTATGGTCCTGTGTGCGTACTCCATCCTTTCCGCACTTTTTTTTTGGTCACCACTCATGATTTACCAGCCCTGACTCCTTTTCATGTGCTTTACAATTCTTTGACAATTTCTGTACAGATAATCTTTTGTAACATATTGACATTAGGTACCTAAATTTTTTATTACGATTTTAAAAAGTATCTGTGACAACTATTGAACTATATATGATGTTGTTAAATAAAATTAATTTGTTAATTACCACTACATTATTCATCAAAGAGATTATGATAACTGGACCTATAGTCCTAACTTGGTGACTGTAAATGACTCTTTTATATTTTCTTTACCTGTGATAAAATCACTATTGTTATTTTTTTTTTATAATACAATGTGATGGGACAAAGAAATTGTGCACCGGCCTGTCTTGGCAAGCGACATGCCTGTCCATAACAGTTGCAGAGCCACTCAGAGTATTAAATCACAAAGATCTGACAGACACTGCCACTGTGGTCATCACTCTTAAGAAACAAGTCCATGTGCTGGGTAATTTCACCAGCACCCTTACCTTTCAAAACTGGAATTCAGTAACGGTCACATTACTGTTTGGCAGTAGAAGTAGGTAAGGTCTATAAATGATCAGAAGAAGTTTTTGATACAAAAATCAAACCTAGAAAAATTCATTCAATTTTGCTCAATTCGATTCAGCATCTTCAGCATACCTTGAAGGTGTAACTATAAAACAAATTACTGGAGTAATTTCACAAAAAAAAAAAATTATCATTATAGCAAAATGGTGATATTTGGTAAACTTCATATTATGATACCATTATTCAACTGCATGTTTTTTTATTTTGAAACGGTTACAGTTACCTTCCTCTCCAGTTACATTGTTTATTTTAACTGTTTGATTGTTTTATGGTGCCTTATTTTAGACCTGTTTTTACCTTCAACACCAGCAATTTAACATATCATGAATAGAACTATACAAATTTAAACCAAGACTAACAGAACTAAAGGCTTCTGGGATTACATTAGCTTCAGTTGTTTTTTCACCTGGCTATATGTTTGCAGAAGAGTGAGTTTTTTAATCCAATTAGGTTCGTAGTTACAACATTGACTCAGGGGGTGCAGATGCATTTGATCTGTTTCATGGTAGAATCTACAGTCTCTATTGTCACTTAGCTTGGCGGTCGACATGAGCTTAAACAAATTTGTTTCCCTAGTCGGCTTTCAAAGGTAATTCCTCATCTCCAATGCGCTTGTCATTCATTTATTACACTATTGTGTTGTTTAATATATTATTATGTCTAATATACATCTCACACACATACAATGCTTTCATATTATAAGTTAGTAGTCACTAAGTTGCATAATTTCACAAACAGTTTGAAAGTACTAATACAGCCAGAAAGCTTTGTTACATTAAATATGTTACATCTAGGATTTTTAATGTACATTTTAACGCATTGATGTGCGTTTTATTGATAAATAAAGAACATAATAATAATAAAAAAACATACACCTGAAAGTAACCCATTCTCCCCATAAAACAAAATGGCCTCTATCCTCTTAACAAGTTTAGCTATCAGTAAAACAGATAGTACATTATCACTGACTTGTGAAAATTAAACAAATTGTTATCTCAAGATTGCATAGCATCTTAGATTCTCAACAATTTCTTAAACTATTGTAACTAATAATATAAAATTATGAGTGGTATTAAAGCTGAGAATACATGGAAAGCCTTTCACTGGGTTGATCAAGAATCTTGCAAATATTGCAGAGTGTTTTGCAACAGGCTGCCCAAGATACCAGTGTGAATGTTGCAGCATTCATTTGACAAATACACTATCACTGTTGCCATTATTTGTGCTGTTTGCCATATCTTATATTTGGCTGATGGTAACAATGCTGAAAAATTGTTACTTTGTCTCTGTAATACAAGCCGTGGTAGCCTTATGGCTTGATCTAACGCCGCTCAAGCAGAGGTCGTAGGTTCGAGTCCATCCACGAGATGCGAGTTTCTCGGAATTTATATACGAAATTTAATTTTAAATTTACCAAGAAATTTTCGGTTAAGAAAAACATCGTTTTAAACTGCACGTCATTGAGGGTTCACAATAATAATAATAACATACACACTCAACATAGCCCTGCACTAGGGAAACCCTGTGTCGCGGGTGGGTGCCTTGGACGCTCACATAGACAACCACAAATTACACCCAAACTCACGAGAGAAATAAATGTAGGCCATACAAATATTTTTCCCGGCCCGGGAGACGAACCTGGGACCTCTGCATGGCAGTCCGGCAAGGTAACCGTTTGGCTGCGGAGGCAGTTCTCAATCCTCGGAAATCGTGTGAAGTCACCAACATGCATTGTGTCAGAAAACCTTAAACCTTGGGACCCGTTCCCTGCAGTGGGGTAAATGGGTTGATGATGATAGTGATATAAACTGCTTTAATTCTTTGTAGGTTATCTTTTTGTCAAAATGTCATCTACAACATCTTTTTTTCCCCATTTGAAAACCACTGGCTGTAAATGCTATGCTAACAAAAATATTTAACTACCGCAGTACACACATATTCTTAGTGATAGTGACTTCAATTACCCCAAAAGCGTTTTATTTTTGTTTTATTAGTATTAAAATTA